TGATCCATGGAGTCTCGGAGTGTTTGTATCTATATTCACCTGCCTCTGTGTGTGAGTGTGTGTGTGTGTGTGTGTGTTTTGGGGAAGGTGTATTTTTCTTTTCTTTTTTTTTCCTGTTATCCCCAAGCCTTCAGAATTCAAAGGTTTTTGCTTGTTTGCTTGTTTTAAATATTGCAACATGATCTTAAGAATATTCTGAGTAATCCGAGAAGGGATTCTGTTCACGTGTCCAGCAAAGCAGGTGTGGAGGAGGGGCAGAGAGTGACTGGAAGGTTGGGGGGTGTCAAAAAGTGCAGAAGGGTGGGCAGTGACAGTTTAAAGGAAACAACAAAGACATGGCCAGAAGTAGTCCTGCGCCATGTGACTCAGCAAGATGGCAAGTGACAATAGGGATGCTTTGGGAACGCAGGGAAGCACTCCCTCTGCAGCCCCAGAGGTGTCTGGGAGTGCACCGTGGTACACACTGGCACACTGCGCACACTGTTGGGGGCTCGCAGTGGTTAGTCACTAAAGGCAAGTGAAGATTGCAAAGCTGGGGGACTCTGGAGCATACGGTTTAAAGGAGAAACTACTATCCAGGAACTAGATATTTACAACAATTATATTTGAAAAAGTAAACGAATCTGAATTAAAGCCATTGATCTGGTTGGATGTTTCCAGATATTATATATACATAGAATTTGTTTAAACACATTACAAATTAAGCGCATTCTGTGCAGATGCTATGGTTTAAGATGTAGCAAAAAGAGGTTTCATGGTGCCATCTAGTGGAAAAATGGAGAATTGTTGAAAATATTTACAAGCTGATTCCTTCCTTGTTTTTCCTGTAAAAACAATAACATTATACTGTTAAAATGGGAATAAAACTACCTTATCCTACCTGGTGGTAATGAGGAGTTTGAGGTGTGACAAGGAATAAAGCTAATGGAGCACACAGCACGCACTCCGTAACATGTAGATATGGCCATGGTCTTACTTGTATTCTTTTTCTAATTCTTGTTAATCAAAATGATATTGCTATTATTATGAACAATACTAATCGCTGAGTGTTGGCCTGCTTTAGTTTTACGTCTGTGATATCCACTCAACAAGCTGTTCACTTAACTCCAGAGTGTCCACTTTAAGTCTTTTTGGGTAGAAGTAAATTATAATGACATGAATGGCATCCTTAGGGTCATGCCCTCTGTGGAGTTATTTCAAAGGCTGCTCAAGAAGCCCCTCATTCATTTCGACATCTGCTCTTCCCCAACATTGTACTGGAAGCTGCTGGAGTTGAGAGGAAATAAGGAGGAGAACATATGGATCCTGACTCTAAGAACTGTGGTTTACCTTCAATGTCAATGCCATGCATGTGGACCGACTAACAACTGGATGGGAAATGCCTTTAAGTAATAAGTGTGGTGTCTTGGAAACTTGTTTCTTTCCAATACGGGTCTGGACTTCATTTCTGTGGATATGATCCCTAAAGTCTCTTTCTCCTCTAAGAGTGTGTGGGCCCCCAATAGTGCATGTGCCAAATATCACCTTTCACGGGTCTCATCAAGGTGCAATAGCACTTTGGTCAAGGCCAAAAGTCAAAAGGAGTAGGCTGGCTAGAACCAGAGCAACTTTGAACTTGCCATTCTGATGCTCCAGAGTAACAGAGATTGCTCTCTTTACATGCGTTTTAATGCGCTGAGTAGCAGGAGGGAAAAGCCTGGAACCATAGATATAAATGTATAAGGCCTGCAGTTCAGCTAAATTACAAGGATGAGCGGATTCAGCACCTGAGCCTCTAATTTAGCTGTACGCTACTTTTTTTTTAAAAGATTGGTACCCTAGCTAACTGTTGCCAATCTTTTTTCTTTCCTTCTTTCTGCTTTTTCGCCCCAAATCCCCCCAGTACATAGTTGTGTATTTTAGTTGTGGGCCCTTCTAGTTGTGGGACATGGGAGGCCACCTCAGCATGGCCTGATGAGCGGTGCCATGTCCGCGCCCAGGATCCGAACCTGCGAATCCCTGGGCCACTGGAGCGGAGCACGGGAACTTAACCACTCGGCCACAGGCCAGCCCCAGCTACACACTATTTTTTTTTTTTTTTAAAGATTTTATTTCTTTCCTTTTTCTCCCCAAAGCCCCCCTGTACATAGTTGTATATTCTTCGTTGTGGGTCCTTCTAGTTGTGGCATGTGGGATGCTGCCTCAGCGTGGTTTGATGAGCAGTGCCATGTCCGCGCCCAGGATTCGAACCAACGAAACACTGGGCCGCCTGCAGCGGAGCGCGCGAACTTAACCACTCGGCCACGGGGCCAGCCCCCAGCTGCGCACTATTTTCATAGATTCCAGCACAGCCGTCCATATGCTGCTAAACCCATATATTGACTGTCGGGTGGACTGTTAAAGGCCACCCGTCATATCTCAGATTTCTCATTTCATTTCTCCTTTACAAATTAGAATCTGAATAAGGAAAAATTAACTTTCAGGTCTGAAAAATAGTCCCATCTTGAGGGCTGCCGTTTCACAAACACTTTGAAATAGATAGGATGCAGAAAAATCATTGTAAAATATCTTTATTAATCCTTCCCTCGACCCAGTGAAGTAATGATTTGAGGAATACATCCAGATCCACCGCTAGCCAGATATCGATTGTTCAATTATATAGATACTTCTGAGCAAGGAATTTTTGTCTTGATTTCTCTCGCGTGCTTCCCCATTCTCACAATGAGGATAATTGTTTTAAGCGGTGGCAGCAGAGACTTAACTGAAAAACCCTACCCTTCCGGTTGATCCTGTTCTCCATGTAATGACAATGGCTTGGTATTCTGCACACTTTGTTACGGTGTCTCCCAGCCAAGGCCATGAGTGTCGCCCCGAGTGTTCCTTTGACAATGTCCCAGCATTGGTATCATCCATAAATCCTCACAGGACATGGAAATTCCTGCCTCTGCACAGCACAGGGTCCTTTGAAAGCTTCTTGTGCTTACAAAGCATGCACACGTTCCTGGGGGTGTCAGGTGCAGTGGGACAAAAGATAAATGTTGGCCCCTCTTTAGGTAGAGCAAGTAAAACAAACGCAGACACACACGACTGTAATCTTCATCTGGGAATCCCACCGGGTACTGTTACATTTGTAATAAAATTACCTGATGCCGAGGACAAAAAGGAAGGAGCTCACTTATTGAAATTTATTTGGTGCCAGTCACTGTACGAGGCATTTTGAATAAAGTCCCTTCTCTACAATTTTGAATTCAATGGATAATGACAGTAAATGATATACTATATGAAGTATACACTTTACACAGTAGGTTGGCTCTTAACCCAGTATGACTGGCGCCCTTGTAAGAAGAGGGGACGAGACACAGGGGAGGGGGCGTGTGCAGATGGAGGCAGCGGTCAGAGTGAGGCTGCCACAAGCCAGGGACGCCTGAGGCCACCGGAAGCTGGCAGGGGCAGGGAAGGAGCCTCCAGTAGAAGCCTGCGAGAGACTGTGGCCCTTCTGACACCTTGATTTTAGGCTTCTAGCCTTCAGAACGGTGAGGGAATACATTTCTGTTGTTTCAAAACGCTCAGTTTGGGGTAATTTGCTATGGAAGCTCCAGAAAACCAAAACTGAATCTAAAGATGAGGAAGGATTGAAACCAGAGAGGCAGTGAAGTTGAAGAGAGTCATCAGTGTTTCAGCTATCAGAAATATTCATTTTGGGGGCCGGCCGGTGGCGGAGTGATTAAGTTCATGTGCTCCACTTCAATGGCCCAAGGTTTCACTGGTTCGGATCCCTGGCAAGGACCTAAGCACTGCTCATCAAGCCATGCTGTGGCAGGCATCCTACATACAAAATAGAAGAAGATGGGCACAGATGTTAGCTCAGGGCCAATCTTCCTCACGAAAAAAAAATATATATATATATGTATATTCATTTTCATTCTCTCTTTCTCTCTCTCTCTCACACACACACACCCGTAGACAGAGGCACATTTCTAATTAAAAAATTGCTCTGAAGAGTTATCTTTAGTTTGTGAATGGCCTTGGAAATGGCAGAGATTTTCTCCCAAGAAGGAAGAAGAGAAGCTTGCACCACTCTGATTAATGAGTACTGTACACACAATGCGAGGGAAATGAGTGGGGTGTCGGGATAGAGCCCATGGACCGTGGCCAGGAAGCAGGCCCTGTGGCCCCCACCTCTTCCTGGCACCCAGAGAAACCCTCCCCTAACAGGTGGCTTCATGGACATCTTGTGAAAAGGCAAGCAGATAGAGGAAACTACTGAAACAATATACGACCGCCATTAACTGCTGCTGGAGCATCAGTGCCGTCGGCAAATTCTCTAAAAGTGACCTTTGGGACTTTAACCAGAATGTTGCAAATTTTCTCACACCAGGATAGGGAAAGGCCCATTCAGTTCCACACTGGTGTGGGATGAGGAAAAGTACATACCACAGGAATATTAGAAGACAGTGTAGAAGCCAGAGGATGAAGGGAGAAGAGGGTCTGAACAGGACCAGATGGGGACACACCTCTTCATCAAATGGATCAGTTTCCCTGACTCTTTAATGAGGTAAGACAGTAGCTAAGGCCATAAGTGGATCAAATACAATATAAAATGTATTATTTGTAAAGTCTTTCTTAAATAAATGCCTTAGTCATATATGACTCTCATTCCAAAGTTTGGGTTCACTCTTTAAAGTCTATGTTTATGGCAACCTACTGGTGCCCAAGGTGCCAGCCGTGAAAACCGCATTATGTGTGACCTCATTGTCGGCTGTTCAGAAAGAGACAGCTCTGTGGTGACTCATAAACAACCTTTCCTTGAATATTTAAAATCAAAATTATTCAAGAAAATACAGCTTTTCAAATTAGAATAAAAAAATAAGCTATGTTCCATAGAACAGTACAGTAGTAGGTGCCCAATAAAGGCAGGTTAAATTTAATTGAATCAGGGTATTAACAATACTTTGGGTCACTAAGTCCCAGTGCATCCCGAAGTTTCCATGGCAAGCAATAGAAGACCCAATTCGAACTGGTTTAAACACAAAAGGAGATTTATTGCTGTGAAACAGAGTTTGTTCAGGCCTCAGGTACTCTGTCTCCACGTCTCTGGGGGCCCTGGGCTGGCTTCTCAAGATTGCTGCCACCGCAACCAAGGTCAGTGCTTCCCGCCCCCAGTGGAGGGGGAAGAGAAAGCTATTCTCTTGACAATCAATCCAAAGTCTTAAACATGGTTCAGATTGACAGCTGAGCCAATCGCTGTGGCTGGGGCATGCCGTGTGCCAGCTGCCTATACCTGCTCACCCATGATCTCATTCCCAGGGAAAGGAAGATAAGATTATGTCATTGGATGCACACAAATCAGGACCCACCCCTGGAACTGGAGATGAGGTCACTTCCGCCCCAAATTTACGTCTATAACACACAGGGAGAAAGGTAGGCACCCAGTAAGTTCAGCACACTGAGCTGCTATCCAGTTTGCACAATGTAAGTTCTAGAACTTTTTTTCACAAGAATTCTTACTATATTTTTAAGACTGCAAGGATCATACTCTATTTTTGTCTACATGGTAACTGCCAAATTACTATTTAATTAAAAATTAAGCAGTTAATAATTTGGTGACCTTACACATGTGACGTTTAATGTCACTTATATTAAGAGAACTGCAAAATAAAACTACATTGAGATACCCTTTTCCACCTATTGGGCTGTCAAAAAATTCCTAAGTTTGATGTCATAATGTTACCCAAAGTGTGACCCTCTCTTACATTGCTAATGGGAGAGAATTGCTACAAATTTTTGAAGAGGAGTTTGACAATATTTATCAAAATTATGAAAGCATTGATCCTTGTTTTGTTTTCAGCAATTCTCCTTCTGGAATATATCCTACAAGTTTACCTGCATACATAAGAAAGAGTGAAAAACTGGAAACAACCTAAGTGTCCATCAGTAGGGGACTGGTTAAATACAACGTGGAATCTCTGTGATGGAATACCATCCTTCTGTAAAAACAGATCAAGGAAGCCCTCTCAATACCAATCAGAAATACTTTCAAGACAGAGCACTAAGTGAAAAAGAGAAAAATGCTGAAGGGTGTGTAGAGTGTGCCATCTTTTGGCATGGAGAATGGAATCTTATTGTATATTTTGTATCTTCTTATGGTGTTTTCATTTTTGAACCATGGGCATATATTAGCTATTCAAAAATTAAACATTATACAAAGCTAAATATTACAAAACTAAAATATGTGTTTTTCTCAAAAATTTCTTGGGAAAGACTTTATAGAAAGATTTTTTTAAAAAGGAATAACAAACGCTTATTCAGAAATAGATTAGTAACACATAGCCTCCTCTATCCCTTAATGCCTCTTCCTCTCCTTTTGAACAAAAGAGACACAGATGAGGAATGTAGAGGAAAGATCTTTTCTTATCAGGAATTACATCCTAATCTTTTTTTACGTGAAGTGTTGCATCCAGACTACTACGGTAATGAACAGACAATAAGACAAGAAAAATTATCATTGTTTGGTAATCTTAGTGGCACTCTACTTTTCAATTCCAGTGTTGTGTGAATCTACAAGCATTTTGGATCTGGCCCTTTTATGCCATTCCAGTCTTTTTTATTTTGGGAGTTTTTTGTTTGCTTTTGTTTTTGTTTTGTCCTCCTCAGAACAAATTCCTTTTGTCCCAATCTTTGAACCTGCCCCAAATGCTATTCTTCCTCTCCCTTTTCATAGAACCCTGTGCATCCCTCTCTTTTCCATTTTAAATGATATACTTTATACTTGTGTAATTATTTGATTTTTGCTGTTCATGCTGACTAGACTGGAAGCTTCATGAAGGAAGGGACATATCTATTTGCTCACATTGAAGCTGCACAGCTCAGTGTGCTCAAAAAATATTTTTCATCTTGGGTAAATTATATAGGTGTTGACACAAATTGAAAACTGGTGGAGACGATGCAAATTCTAAGTTATTACACTACACCAGAAACAACAACCAGGTAAATATTTGCACTGTAGGGAAAAGGGAAACTCCAGGACTTCAGAAACAGGGAGCTGCCTTGAAGATGCTTAAGACTCTCCTATAATCATCCATTTGTTCCCAAATTGTTTTCCTCTGTAGCATGGATGTACTTTATGTTGATTTCTGTCCAATACATTTATCTATAAATGTAGATTTTCAAACCCACACTGGCAGTGGCAGACTGTCCTAGAAAGGCTTTAGCTTGCTCTTTTCATCTCCATCAGCCTCCTCTACCCCAAAACCATGCCAAATAAACATACAATCTTTGCACAAATAGTTTTCTAGGCAAGTACATCTTTGAGATTCTAGTTCCCTGAAGGACCACGTCCAGATGAGTTGCTGCCTTTAATCTTCTCCCATATAGAAATTCCGGAGTCCGCATTCACACTCAGAGCTTGTATCTACTCAAACTAATTTGAAAAAAAATATTCAAAGTCGAAATGACAAGAATTCCTGATTATTCTGAAAACCTGTCATTGAATGCAGTCCCGTTCTTCTTTTCCTAGGAGATGTGTTCATACAGGCAGAGAGCAGATTCTCGCAAATTGGTGGTGACCGTCCTTGTCTCCGTTTTCTCCAGCTCCCATTTTTCATTTAACAAATCTTTTTACGGTGGTTTCTTTCAGCAGTTCAACCTGATCCTTTGGTGCCACTGCTCGATTCTTCTCTGATGTATTTGGCTATATTTTAATCTTCAGAAGTATCACCTTATAGTGTTTCTTTGGCTCAGTAAAGGTGTGATCAAAAAGCAAGAGACTGGATGCTGAAAGCAAACTATAAGGATCATGGAACAGCAGTTTTGAAAACAGTGGCTTGTTTTCTTTTGGCGTCTTGTTGCAAATGCCAAGCGCCTTCAACTTGGGTCTGTCTCAGTATTGTAACCTGTAGAGGAAAATGATGGCACAGTTGTCTTCTTCAGTGAAATCAAAACCCTCTCCCAGAGTAATCTGGTTGGTCCTTCAGGGAGTCAGCTGACATCCGGGAACTCTTTCACGGTGCTTGGGTTTTCTCCAAAATCCAGTCCACATACTTGACCACGTTGGTGTAGACACCTGGCCGTTCCCTGTGAGCGCAGCCTTCACCCCAACTCGTGATGCCCACCAAGTGCCAGACCTCGTTGTGTTTACAGGACAGGGGGCCCCCTGAATCTCCCTAAGATGAGAGGAGAAAAGAAAAGGCACACAGATCAGTTCAGACGCTTCTCATCTTAAATACATTTTCCTCTGAGTGGTTTCGCTAAAATTCCGTCTTGGCCCTTTCATAAACTTCAGTTTGAAAACTAACACACTGTGTTCCTGCTCCTTGGCAGAAGACTGCTTTTTCAAATGCATTAAACATTCTAATTTAAATATATTCCGTTGGTTGAGAACACTCATACCTTACAAGCATCCTTCCCTCCTTCTTTATAGCCTGCACAGATCATCTTATCAGTAATTTTATGACTTCTGTATCTTCTCTGGCATTCTTCATTTGTCACCAAGGGTATCTCGGCTTTCTGGAGAGTATTTTGTATCTTGTCTGAAAAATTTTTTAGTTTGTTAATGGAATAACCATATATATAATAGAAATAGAAATAGATATTTAAATAGGAATATATGTATTTAAAATTAAAATCACACCTATATAAAAATCCAGGAAGAAAAAGTATTAGGTTTACCTCAGACCTTTTATAATTACAGAGTATAAAGAAGACATTATGCCCATTATTGTGAATACCATTTTGTTAATGTTATTTAAGTTCAAAATTAATTATAGCTCTAACTGGAATGGCTTCCTAGAGAAAATAATTGAATAACAGGCTAGGGCATTGACTGAAAAGTTCTAGGTTTCACATTAAACTTCATTAAAAATAATTAATCTTTAAAGAGATCGTCACATTTAAAATTTCCAATCAAACAGACACAATATTATCCTCATCTGGGTAATTTTTTCTTTCCATCTTTATCAATACACTTTCTGCAATTGAATAATGTTATTATTTTACTTACATTTTAGATGTATGACTTGACATAGCAAAAAAGGTTATGGTTAAACTGTGTTCTTTAGGATGAAGCATATAAAGAAACATCATCTTTTACCTCTTAATTTCCTGTACCCCCATCCAGTCACCCAGCAATCACTATATATTACGTTTGTATCTCCTTTGGAAGGTAGGCATATGGGTCGTTGAGAATCTAAATTGTAAAAACCATAATTTAGTTATCAGAAACGAAACATGTCTTCTTTCCTAGGAGACTCTCTTCTTTCACTTTGCATTATTTACTGTATTCTCTATTTATATTCGGTTTTGCCTCATTGTCAAACATTTTCATCCCTGATGTTCAGCATTATATGTTCAACAGATATACGTTCAACACATTCCCGGATGAGGGCACAAGAGCGAGACCAGCCGCAGCCTTTCCCACTAACTCCATCTCTCTAGCCAGGTCTGGGACCGTGTAAGAGTTGCTTAATTGCTGTGACCTGCAATCCTTTTGTCCCTAAAAGGGAGGTATAAATCCTCTTTAATATTCCAATGTGTTACAAAAATTATGTCATTCTGTTCATCTGATGAAGCCTGGAGAAAACTTGTCATTTCATCCAGAGCCCAAAATAGGGTTCAATAATCAGCAAAGAAAGTCAGTCTTAGATTGAAAGACTAGCTTTGCAAACCCTCCCCTTCCATGATATCAACCATGGAGCAATGGCCAGGGTCAGGCCGTGAATCTGGCAGTGTTAAACATTATGTCTAGGTCATCACTGTAGAAAACTTTCCATTTAAAATTCTACATACCCGTGTAATTCATTGTTGTTCCCAGTTTCAACAAGGCGATATCATACCCACTTTCTGCTATTTCATATTGATCGTGAATTATTATTTCTTGAACCGCAAAGAAAGATGTATCCTCTTTTATTTCTGATTGATTTAAAATGCCACTATAGACACGCAAAATTTTAGGTGACTCTACCCTAAGGAGTAAACAATAGAAGAAAAGAAATTTCCTTTACCAAATAATTCCTAAACATTAGAGCTAGACTGTTATTGAACTGGCTATACTAGCTAATATTTTCTGCCAGTGATGGACTTTTAGGTGGAAGAAGGTGATTTCATGCCAAGATTTTTCAGTCATATATTTCTCCTATATAGAAGAGCCTGGGCTAGCGTTTACCTTATAGTTAAACACAAAAATGAATAAATGCTCTATCCACTCTCCAACACATACACACACACTCACACACACACACATGAAGAGTTCTGGGTTTTAGTCTCAACTCTGCCATTGATTGGCCGTGACCCTGAGAAATTCACCTAGACTTTCTGGTACTCCATTTTCCCATATGTAAAAGGCAAAGGAGACTATTGACTTCAAATGTATCTTCGAGTTATAATGTGAGTATGCTGCATACTGATAAAAAATGTATATACACACAACAAAACTGTATCTGGAAACAACTCAGAGGATACTGAAGTGCAAAGAGGAAGTTTGGCCAACTAAAATTCCCTAGGGTACATATACTCTCCCCATGGAGCTTTGATGTTTGGCCAATATTAAAGTTGACCTAAGTAGGGAATACAATTTGAGGATGCGTAATGAACTCTTCCTTCTGTGTGTGGAAACGGTGAAAGAGAGAGAGAGAAAGGGAGAGACAGAATGGGAAATTAGATTCAGGGAATGAAAAATTCTCTTTGAGTTTAGTTCTGGACCCAATGCCCAGGACAATGCACAGAAGATGGTGTTCTCTCATAGGAAGTAACAAGAACTCCCCTGGGGATCTATATACATTTAAATGAGAAAGTGGAATTGTATGCAGTCAGCCATGTTCCTGCACCCGTTCGGATGCTAGTAGACCACGAGCGGCTCTTCCCTTTTTGTTTTTTTTCATTAAAGATAGAAAATTAATTTAGCCAATAGAATAATGTACATTTAAAAAATGTTACCAAAATACTAGTGATAGATTTAATCTATATGTGAGCATGGTGAACGAGCAAAAACAGTACTAGTACTGACTCGTCGAAACAATGAGCAGCTGTTAATATCCACTGGTTTCCAATGATGGAGCCTCCACACAGGTGTTTCTGGGTGGGTGAGATGATGTGCAAAGTTATCTGCCATGGCCACTCACCAGGAACAGACGCCCTTCCTCCAACAACTCTGGGCTTGATTTTGGTTGTACAAGCTGCAACAAAAGGATTGCAATGAGTAGCTTCCTAAATCTTCTTTTGCAATCAGTAGTTGTGTTCCTTCAGGCACAACGGGAAGAAAACCTTCCCTTGACTCAATCATTTCCCATGACCTTGACTGGAAGAAACTTTATAATCAAGTTGACAAAGCAAAACATGTACATGAAAATTGAATGAGTAAGTCACCTTGAAATCACATGCCCCCAAATAATGCCTCATCTGGTCCTAGGAGGCAGTCTTATCCCCCCTGGAACAATAACCCTGATGGTCCTTTTAAAGCAGGGGTTGTCAAGTGTGGCCCTCAGACCAACAGCAACAAGTGGAAATTGGTTAGAAATACAAACTGTTGAGCCCTTCCTCAGACCCAGTGAATGGGAACCTCTGGCTGTAGAGTCTAGCGATTTCAGTTGTAATCAGCCCTGCTAAAGGTTGAGAACCACTGTTATAAAGAAAAGTTGAGCGTCTTCCACTCAGTTTGTAGCCGTTGTCCAATTCTCCCCATCCCCTCCCACTCAGACCAACCTTTGGTCCCAGTCCCTCCTGCTCCACCAGCATCCAAACCTGGCCTGCTCTTCTGTTTGTGAACTGCTTTTGCCCTTTGGTCTTGTTGACAGTGTGGGGTTCTTTGGCTCAAAGCTTGATGCTTTCCAAGGACTTTGATGCAGACTTACCCCTTTGTTTCTTTCTGTCTTGGCTGACCTGATGGGATAGTCCATTCTATCTCTACTTCCTGGAATGGCAAACACAAGAACCCACCCTCCTGGTTGGAAGCCTTGGCCAAATTTGCCCAAGTAGCCTAGCTAGAATGGGAGTGAGGTGTTCATAGACAACAGTATTCCAGAGAAGTGCTTCTCATATTTTAATGTGCATATGGATCACCTGGTTATTTTTTAAAATGCAGATTTTGATTCAGTCTGGGGCAGGGCCTGAAATTCTTTCTAGCAAACTCAGTGTAAGTGACCAAAAGTGAGGCCATCTTGTTACACTAAACGGCCGCAGTCCCTCCTCTGTGTGACTACCCGCTGCTCTGCAAGTACTCTAAAAAATTCACATGCTCTCCTGATTTATGGCCTCTGCTTATGTATGTACTCCCTGATAGCTTGATAAATTAAAACTTTGTTCTATGAGTTTCTCTCCAGAAACAGGCTGACCACAGGTGGTAAACACATCTACAAAGTATCCATCACAGCTGACACAAGAACCGAACAATAGAAAACCTTGAAGTCCGTCATGCCTGGAGGAAACGCCCTCCTAACTGTCCATTTTCCCTATATAACTACCTCAAGATTCTGTAATCTTCAGAAGATGGGGGTTTTTTGAGACATTAGTCTGTCATCTTCCCAATTATGCCGGCTAATCGAATTAAAACCTCCTTTCTTGATCTCTAATTTGTTGTGATTAATTGGCTCAGAGCATGGCAAGCAGAGCATTGCTTGGTATCACCAGGTGATGCCAATGTGCTATACCCAGATCACACTTAGGATAGCAATGCTCAGGGGATCAAGGAAGCTTCAGGTCCTTTGCTAGAGGAGGAGTGTGAAGTTACCAGAAGATTCACTGCTCAAAAGCCACGTCCTAGAGTCATTCACTAGTTTTGTAGATGTCAACAACCTCTCTAAGTCTTTCTTTCCTCAACGGGAAATGACTGTGTAACACTGAGGCAGATTCAAATAGAAGGAAAGGACAGGGAAAGGAGATTTGAAGGAAACACCAGCTGGTGGAAAGCTGAGGTAGGAACAAGCATGATGTATTTATGAAAACCTAGATATGCTGAGAAGAGAGCTCTTACTTTAGAGTGGATCAGATGGAGATTAGTTTTAGAGGATCCTTTTGAAGATTTTGACTCTTTTCTGGAATTACTGGGAAGCTCTTGTAATTGCAAGCTTGGAAGTGGCATAATGGCAAAGTTTAGGAAAATTAATAGGGAAGCAATAACTAAAATACGTTATGAACAACTCAATAATGAGTCATTGGTCTGGATGTTCATTTTATTTGGTTTCCCAGTTCAAACAAAATATTGAAAATATGTACGTCTAGCACTACGTTTTGTGTTAAGGCATGTTTCTTTTGACGGCAATTGCTCTGTATCTTAAGAAACTTAAATTATATTGTAGACCAATGACAGTGCAAGACATGATAAACATCTCAGTTAGATGTTTCCTTTCCTAGTGGGGTATTATTTCATCTAATATAGTACAGCCAAACCTAATTATCTAGTTTCATTTAATTCAGAAGCTTCACTAAAAAGGTAGAAGATTTCATTTTCCCTTATATTTTCTGCCTCAACTATCAATCTATACCTGATGTATTCTGCAATCTTTATAGAGTCTATAAATTCAACTGAGAAGAGCATAACGAAGGAAGGAGAGTGGAGAATGGATTCTGCAATTTAAGGCCTAAGTGCTGGTTCTTATTTTTTAAACTATGTCAACATCGTTAACAACAAAACTTGCTGTGTCCCTCTAATGCTTAGTAGAACTAAGACAGCAGAATTAGTGTAAACACTCGTTCTTGCCTAGGTAAATTTATTGTGAGAAAAACATAGAATGTATGAGACACAATTTAATTGATTGACGTTTTAAAGAAGATTGAACCACCCAAAGATTTCCATCAGAGCCCCCTCTAAACTCTAGGAAGGCATAGTTTCCTAGTTAGGATATTAGTATTGAACACAATATAATATTATAAGTTCTACAAAACAAGTTTTCACAAATTAAGGATTTCTTCAACTTCCCAGCAGAGCAAATAATTCTGACACAAAAATTTTCATACTTCGAAACTATTACAAAGCATAATTACCACTTCTATTTTATTCATCAAATCTCAGTTGCATCTTAATTTATATTGCATTATAATGTCAGACATTAAGCAATAAAAGTCTAAAAACGTGCAGTTTTATGTAAATCAAGAAATACTAAAGTCATAACAGGGCATGATGGTAATTTAGGGAGGAGGGTGTGGAAAGTTCTTTCCTGTTGGGGATGCCATCCCTTAGACGATTCCACTCACCTGCAAACCATTTCTGGCTACTAAGCCCAGAAACTGGCCAGAGGTGAAAATACTACTGATCTGATTTTTATTGTAATTTTTAAGTTATTACAGGTCTTGTTTAATCTGGATAATCTACTTATTTCCACTGCACCACACTCATTGTTACAAAGTAATAAGGTTTTACCGTAATTTTTGTGGTATTCATAAGTATGTAGAACACTTGCAGGGAATCTGAAAGAATGAAGACCCCTGAGAAGTAGCTACTCGAGTATTTCTTGAATAGAGACATAATTGTCAAACACATGATGATTATTTATGTTTCAACTAAAGATCAAGTAATGGCCGATGGAAAGGAAATGAATAATTTGATTAACTAAGATGCTGGTTGATATTTCAGTTATAAAGGATGATAAGAAAGACAGTGGGCCTTGATAGCAAGACATAAAAGTGTTGGCTGAGCCTGAGTCTCACCATGAAATACCAGATGTATGAATGTGTAAAATTAAAATACATCTTCAGTTAATACTAGGCAATGCAGAGTTTAGTCAAGGCCCAATATTTACCTTTAAAACCTGATCATCCTGGGTGATAGGAGTGAAAATAACAGAAAATTGCATCAAAGTTCATTATTTCACTAATTTTGTCCCCTCTGTGGCTATTATTGGCTTTCTTGTCGTGACGTATTCAGCATAGAATAACTCCTTCAGATGTATTTTTTCAAGTAACATTAAACTCACCGTTATCCATTTTACACAACCGTAATGTATATCCAGAGATGCCTCCTCTCCCATAAAGAATTTTAGTTGGAGATCCATTTGAAGAAAGTTTTAAGTAACATTTACCCCTGCAGGTTGGAAACAAAATGGTATAAACATAATGCCCTTCAAAAGAGATGGGACAGGAGCATCTGTATAACCCTTTATGTCTTACTTCCCTCCGTTGCAAGATTCATGAGGCGGAGAATAGGTAAAAAACTGGCAGCGGCTGGTGTCGGTACACATTTTCTGGCAGGCTTCGTGCCCTTTCATATCAACAATGTCCAGTTCTTCTCCCAAGAAATCAGTGTCATGATAAAATGAAGGATGACAGAACACTACACAGCAAATCACATATCGGATATGAGACACAACACCTTAGAACTCATCAATCTCCTTGATCTCTTGATATTAATCAGAAGAAATGCTCTCATTGCTTACCTGGGACGCTGTGCCTGCAGCTCTGTAGGCTGAACCCAGACAGAGCTTTGTTCTTTTTAATGCGTGTACTTGGTAATCCACTCACAGATGTTTTAAGGAGACAAAGATTTCTAACAGTAAAAAAAGGGCAACATAAATAATATCATATAAAACATATCAAAGAAAAACAACATTTTTTACGGCACATACAGAAGTCAGCTCATGTTGGCATTTCATAGTGAAGATTTTCTCATTTTGAAAGTTCTCTTCATAAATCAGAGTCAGACCCAACGATCCATAGGTGGTAGACAAATTTTCAAAACTAAAGCACCTACCTCCATAAAAATTTTCTGAACTTGCTCTGTTGTCAGTGTTCCTAGCATCTTCCTTCTTTATTTCCTTCCTTTCAACACTCTCAGCCTATCTCAAAGATTCTAGAATTTTCATGCTACCTAGAAATCTGCTTTCCAGAATTGCAGCAGGCTTAGACAGGGACAAGTGAAACCCATCGCACGCCCCACAGCCGGGCAGCATCGTCCTGGCAGGAAGTAGTTTTTCCCAATGAGCACCAAATCACAGTCTAGAGTAGTGCTGTCCAACAGAATTTTCTGCAGTGATGGAAACATTCCATTGCCTATGCCTTCCAACACAATAGCCGCTAGCCACCTGCAGCTGTTAAGCACTTGAAATGTGGCCGATACAGCTGAGGAAATGAATATTCAGTTTTATTTAATTTTAATTAATTTAAATTTAAAAAGCCAAGTCTTTGCTTTTAGAATTTATGTTCTTCTCTCACTCTATATTGAGGATAAAATGTGTTACCCCTCCTATAGGTAGGGATTGGGAATCTTATAAAAGGAATAAAAAAGAAAAAGAGCAGTCCTTAACACAAAATAACACATCACAAAGGCATCTTTATAACTTTTCCAATTTATAATGCCTCAAGTCTCAATCTTTGAACTTTCTTTCTTCTCTGACTGCATTCAAACTTGTGATGATCTCACCAATTTCAGTGCCTTTAATGACCAGCTGCATGCTGGTGACACCCAGGCATAGATATGGTATGTAAATCTCTTCTTAATTCGAGACTTTTCTTTTCAATTGCCAATTCAACATTTCTCTCTGGATGTCTACTAGGCATCTCTTCCCTTATGAAATCTTCCACATCTCAGTCACTGGCATTTCCTTCCTTTCAATTCCTTGGGCCAAAAATCTTGGTACTATCCCCGACTCTTTCCTTCACAGCTGGTATCCAGTGGATCCGCAAATCTTATTGGCTCTACACTGACAATATATCCCAATCTGATTGCATCTCTATCACTTCCACTCTGGTCCAAGTAAGGCAGGGTTTTTATCTATTTAGTTCACTAATGATACCCCCAGTGTTTAGAACAGTGCCTCATTAGTAGGCACCAAATAAGTTATATTAAATTTGTTGAGAAAATGAAAGTAACAGATATATTTTCATGCGACAGACCTAGTGCTTCTGAAATTACAGCCTCAGTCGATGGAAAATCAGGCTTGCTGATGGACAAGGAGCTCAGGGCTTCCCTTGGCTGGATTGTTCTGGGGGACATTCTCCCAATAATGGGCAGCCAAGTCAAGCAAATGCCAAGGACCTTGAGAATTCTGATTCAGATAATATATACCATCCAGATTTCGAAGGAGACTGAATCTTAAGATTTTTTTTTTCCTAGTGAACCTTGTCAATGAGGGGCAGCAGCCCCAGCAAATGTCCCTTTTATGATCAGAGAAATTTCCCACACTTTATTAAGGTTTCCTGAGTTAATATCCATCCGTAGGGAAACAGGGTCTCAATTCTCAAACCTCACTCCACTATCACCCACAATTCTATTGATGTGGGTCTTCAGTTCAACTTCTTTCCACTTTGGATTTCATATATCACTGGTATTTCCAGCTCTTTCTGTTCCAGGTTCAATTATCATTTTTTTTGTTCAGGTTGTTTGGTTGGTTATTTTTTTTGGTAAGGAAGACTGGCCCTGAGCTAACATCTGTTGCCGATCTTCCTCTATTTTTTATGTAGGACGCTGCCACAGCATGGCTGGATGAACCATGTATAAATCTGCACCCGGGATCTGAACCTGCAAACCCCAGGCCACCAAAGTGGAACATGTGAACTTTACCACTAGGCCACTGGGCAAGCCCCTAGGTTCAATTATCTTAAACCAGGCATTACACTAAGTTGCCTCTCAAAGACCATCTCTTCTCTTCCTTTCATTCAGAACCAGGCAACTCTCCCTTTGCTGAAGGGAGAGACCTCCTTAAGCGAAAGAAAACCAAGAGTCCTTGGTAACATTGCATTTGTGGTCTGTAGGTGGGGAATGGAAACAGAGAAGGGGGGAATTCTTCGCAACTTTTATCTATCCTATACAGACATTTAGATTAAACTTGTAGTTGCTCGTAAGTTTTAATGATGGATTTTGATCAGTTTTAAAAGATAACACATTACTCTTAATCTTAACTCCTTACCTTTCGGACTCTTTAGGCCACTCTTGAGAAAAGAAGGTAAAAAACAAACAGTTGGGATGGTGAGTACAAATGCGGCGACAGACAAAGACATCTGGAGCCACGACACTGTCAATGTTACTGTCTGCAAACACCGTACTAGGGAAAATGTCCCTAATACAAGCTGGACAACAGAAGAAACAATGTTTAGGAAATCAATTCACAAACAGTAAGATCCCAGTCATGGTATTTGTAAATTCCATACAAAGAAGTTTATTGGGGGGTGAAGGAGGGATGAATAGGCAGGGCAAACAGGACTTTTAAGGCAATGAAAATACTCTGTATGGTATTACAATGACGGACACATGTCATTACACATTTGCCCAAACCCATAGAGCGTGCAACCCAAGAGTGAATCATAACGTAAACTACAGACTTTGGGTGATTACGATGTATCAACGTAAGTTCATCAGTTGTAACAAATGTCCCACTCCGGTGGGGGAGGTTGATAATGGGGGATGCTATGCATGTGTGGGGGCAGGGGGCATATGGGAAATCTCTGTACCTTCCCTTCAGTCTTGCTATGAACCTAAAACTACTCTCAAGAAATAAAGTCCTAATAATAAAAAATAAAAAGTTTGCTTACTCCAAGATCTTAAAAAAAATTTTTTGTAATTTAGAAAAACAGAAGTGATTATTTTAAACTTTTAATTCAAATACAAGCTCTAATTATGCAGGACACAATGGAATTTTTCACGCAAAGACAGTAAAAGACTGTTGGGTTCATTTCATCAGTGAGCATAATTGGTATGCTAAGGTAGGCCCATCGTACATATCATCAGCACCTATTATTTAATGGTTAAACTACCTCCTTAAGAAAATAATAGTTACCTAGATTAGAAAGGGCACAGGATTTCAGTGAAAAGCCAGACACCACTTCGCTGAGCTTCGTTATTCTGGTTGGTGTCCCTGTTTGGGTATACTTCAGCAGACAAATGTTACTGAATAAAAATAAAAATGGAAAAATACATTATTCTTCCAAAGACAAGTAGGAAAAAGCATAAGTTGATGAGAAATACCCATTGAGAGACTGCTTGGGCATGATAGCTAAGGAATTACTCTGACAAGAGTTGATCTGAGAGGCTAGATAGCTGGATTTGACTCTGCCAGGACCTCATGGTCCTGTGAATTTTGTAAGTTTATTTTTCATCAGTAAAATGACAGTTTAAGAGGGATGGTGACATGAGGAGTAGGGGTGCAGGAATTAATGACTTCTCAAGCCCCTCTCAATTTTAGCATTCTAACTTTTTTGTATTGCATAACAACGCCCAATCTCCTGGCTTCTTGTGCACATCGCATTAAGTCTTAGACATAAAATATTTAAAAAGATGTGGTTTGAGCTGAGCTAAAGACTAAAAAGCTTGAAAACTAAGCATAAAATTTTAATTATTGATTTGAGAGTTTGTTTTATCATGGTTGTTTTTGAAATAAATATTTGATGCTTTATTTTCTTTCCACTCATCTCCTTTCTGTGACTGTGGAGAGCAGAACATTAAAATCCAAAGTGAAAATCCAAATACTAGTCGTTTGAACTTATTTCTCTTTTTTCATTCCAGATAACTGTAGTTTACCATACAAATCTAGAATATCTCTAACAATTTCTAAATATAAAAGTTAATGATATTTTTCCCTAAAAAAATTTTTTTAAAGAGAACATGTTAACCATTGTAGATCAGATCATTTTTTAATTCTTATACAATAGATTTACCCCTGGAATATTTCAAAATCTGGTATGGGAGAGACTAAAACACTTCACATAAACTTCCGTTATTTTGTCTTAGGTAAGGAAAAATTTTGGGGAGATATCTGAGCAGGTTTTTCTTTTTGATCTAGAGTCAGATTGTAACATCATTTAGGCTGGGAACGGCACAGTCAGACCAATTGCATGTGTCTCAAAATAGCCAATTTAAAAATTTGGCACTTTTTAAATTAGCTAGGAGATGGGTTAAGCATATACATATTTTTTTATAACTGTCACTAAAAGACAAACTCCTTACCGTAAATGATATGCATCCAAATTGGGCTTTAAATGCAATTTCCATCAAGAAAACTGTAAATATTTATTACAGAAATGTCTTGTAGGGGTTAAAAATAAACTTTGGCATCAAGTTGCTGAAAAAGACTTTAATGAACCTCCATTTTGTTCTCCATCAGATAGTCTAACGTCTTTGGGCTCAGTCTACAGCTCACTTACCGATGCTCTACACTTGGAAACCACCTCGTTGCATATGTAAAAAAGTGACAGTGCATGTCATTCGTGCATCTCTCCTGGCATTCCTGAGCATTCTTGGCAATAGAGCTATTATAGTTCAAGCCCTTCATGTCTACATCCACATAAATATTTTTGTTGCAAGCTGGAAATAAAAGTGGAAAATTTGGTTATCTTCCAGACTCCATGAGCAACTGCAAGAGTCCTACCTTAGCAACCATCCCTCCTGACTTACTTTTCCACTCTTTTACACGCTTTCCCTTGGAAGCCTTTTATTTTTATTTTAATCTGCTTAATTCCTACTCTCACGTGTAAGGAGTAAGAGAATGTCAATATCTTTCGTATACTGCAACAATAGTAGACCTGTAAATTCCTGTTTCAATTTCCTGGCCTGGCCTCTCTTGTCTCCTTACCTCCCCCGATTGATCGATTCGTTAATTAACCTACTCAAGTGCCTCTTTCACTATTAAGACAAGCATCATCTCAACTTTTAGAGATGCTTCCTTTGAGTTATCATGTTCAAGGACTTTCATATAAAACTTTAAGCTGAGAAAGAGAAAGGAAATAAATAAATGATGAGAAGTGATGTAGTAAGATATGTCCTTCTATGAGATAAATTTTAATGAACTACATGAAAAATGCTACTTCTGACTGTAAACTGAAAGAACTTCATTGAGACGATTTCCATATAGCAGGATTTTGTTTTATAGCCATAAAACTATATCTGATGTAACTATATGTATACATCACAATAACTAGTATCTATTAACTCTAGCAAGACATCTTACCACTTATTTGGTGCGAACATTGCTTGAAAGAATATCCAGAAATTGCTCCTGTCATATTCACCATTGGCAGTGTTTCTGTAACACTGTCTTTCAGGATACAAGTAAACCTGTTTTTGAAAAAATAACATTACTGGGTGGGAATTTATGTTTTAAAATTACAGGTCTTAAAAGTCAGAACACAGAAAATCAAAAAGAATGAAATGAACTACTATATCTTACGCCAAAACAAATATTTTCTTGGCAAGACTGTGAGTTTATTTTTCATCCCAACATCGCTATGTTTAAAAGATCACATATAATACTCCCTCCTAAAGGGAAATAGGACTGGGCAAACTATGGCTTATTGCTCACATGCAGCCCTCTGCCTGTTTTTGGTTAGCTCATGAGCTAAGAATTGTTTCTATATTTTTAAATGGTTACATAAGTACTCATATAACATCCTTGATTTTGCCTTTGGACCCATAAAGCCTAAAATATTTACTCTCTTCCTTGTTAAGAAAAAGTTTGCCAATCTCTGTTGTAGATTCTAGAGTAGTAAATTTTATAAGTTCAAGGTACTACGTAAATATCTATAAATGCAGCAATAATACACAAAGATGTTGATAGCTTAATTGTATAGTAAAGCTTTATTATTAAATTTTCAAGCTTTTTATGGAAACAAAAGTGGTGGGTGGAATGTTCTTGAATTTTTTTAAAAATATGACTATAGAGACAAAACCACCACAGGCAATTTGTGAATCTTCACAAGATTCTGCTTAGTAGCTATAAATTACATTTGGGGACAATTGAGATGATCTAAAGGGATTCTTCAAAAATTTTGAAAGTCTCTTGTGTAGGATAACGTATGTTGAAATATGTAGGGGTGAAGCATTATGATGTTTTCAAATTATTTCAAATGGTTAAACACATACACATACAGTCAGGCGCCACATAACGACGTTTTGGTCAACGACAGACCACATATAGGATGGTGGTCCCATAAGATTAGCATCATGTGGCCTACGTGTTTCGTAGGCTAAACCAGTTAGGTTTGTGTAAGTACACACTATGATGTTCAAACAACAACGAAATCGCCTCACAACACATTTCTTAGAATGTATCCCTGTCATTAGGGGACGTGTGACTGTATATAGATACGCAAGGTACAAATGGCAAAAGTTCTTGGGGTTGACAGGGGATCATTGTATTATTCTTTCAAATTATCTTTAAAAACATTTAAATTTGTCTAATAAAATAGTTGAGGGAAAAACACCAGTGTAAATAATATCAACAATCAACCAAAAAGCAAAGATTAAGAGGCATAAAAGTAGCAAGAAATAAGAGATAAGTGTACAATTAATAACAAGACCACAAGAGAGGAAGTCCTCACTGAGAGGCATGTCTGTTTCTCCCTGACCTGCCTACATACCATCTTTTTTCTGTAATATTTAATATTTCAATTGAAGGACAATATATTTTCCAATTGTTAACATTACATTTTATAAAACAGAGATGGAAATTGATTAGTAGGTAATCATCACACAGCATCTATTTCTTTTATGTAGAAATGCGAATATTTACCATTTGGTAGGATCTTCAGGTGATGATTCTGCTATAAAAGTGAAGAGCAAACACCTTGGGTGGTGCGTGCAGACAACTTGGCAGTGCTTGGCGCTTGGCGTGAAAACAGTAGTAATGTCTCCTCCTTGAAAGTAGATATCTTTGAACAGCTTAGTCACACATTCTGTGATGTAATGCACAGCACGCATTATTTTGGATTTTAGCAGGCATGTCTAACTAGGTAATAATCTCACAAAAGCGAGAGAAGTAGGTCTGCTTAACAGAAAATACGCGTGAACTTGCAAATCAGAGCAATCCATACTTCACTATTAGTTTATTGGATAAGCAGCCTCAAAGAGAAAAGAAAATCACAAAATGGCGCATGTACCTCGATGGCACTGCTTATGAGTGATTCTCTTGGAAATCACTGCTCTTGGAAAAACACTGCTTTGTGGGGAATTGAATCATTCCTCAGATCTTTATTGGCAAAAGAGGCTCTTTGGGATCCCATCCAAGTCCAGAACAGACTTCCTGCTTTTCCTTTTCGCCTTTGCTCCTTTGTCCAGACTCTATGTTCACATGAAACAAAGGCTTCACAGTGATCATTTTCCAGTAGCATTCAGTGGCCCTGGATGTGGTAATGTACATCACCTCATTATTTAAAATGGGCGGTTTAGTCACAGAAACTTTAGGATCTCAGAAAAATAACTGAATCTCCTTCACCTGAAACCATATATAAGTTAAAACTAAAAGCATGAAATCTTTTCTGTTTCTAAAAAGAGATATCTAATATTCCAGATTTGGCCATTATTTGGGTCATTATTATTTAGTCATTGAATAAAAGGCTGTAGTTTTTCATCTTGGTATATTCTCATTGAGAAGTACTACTATATAGCCTTTGATCCTCTTAATATTAAATATACATATATACAACAAAAAATACATATGCTTGTATATATATATAAATATGTATACATAACATAAATGAAAATACTTTGGGCAGAATAAAATACAACTCAAATATTTATTGTAGTAACCACCAGCATACCAATAAATGGGTGGGAACATATGTAGGTACAAAGCAGTCAAAACTGTCAGTAGAGGCTTATAGGATTTAGGTAGTCCGTGGAGTGGACGGTGGAAAATTTTACCTTTATTTTCACTAACCTCTAACGGAAATATGGCATTACCTTCTATTGTTAATGTAAGCAACCAACCACATTCACGTTTATAGTATCTGTGACGTGGTCTTTAAAAAATCACAGATTTAAAAAGAAAACTCTACAGGTGCAGATATCTCAAAATATCATTATCCCTCATTACTGGTTTGGTGGCAATTATTACTATTTAGCTTTAGGCCCACCACTAAATCTTGTTGCATAGTATGTTAATAAGAAGTGCACCTATTTTTATATCACTTTTTTTTCACATTTTAACTAACTATATTTCAATATGATTGATTTCCTTGGTAATTCCACGTATTTTTACATTATGCCTTTAAAAATATTCATCAGTTGGAGTCCAGAGTATTCACTAAACTGCCAAAGGGATTCATGGGAGAAGAGAGAGTCAAGGATCTTGCCAAAGACTAGCCTCAAAAATTCACCATATATGCCTACTAAGCTGCCCAACTATCACCTCCATATGTCATGGGATTTTCTCCCAAATTGGCAGCTAACCGCCAAGAATGACTGAGAACATAAAAAACTGCCTCATCTCCCCAAGTTCTGTGTTGCTTCCAACAGACCGCATGGCAGCCTCCCATTGATGGAGAGTCTGTTCTCACCTCAAAATATTCCCTTTGCGAGGCAACGAAAGACCCTGAATAGCTAAAGCAATCCTGAGAAAAAAGAACAAAGCTGGAGGCATCACAATCTCTGACTTCAAAACATACTACAAAGCTATAGTAATCAAAACAGCACGATACTTGTACAAAAAAAAAAAAAGACACACAGATCAATGGAACAGAAGTGAAAGCCTAGAAATAAAGCCACACAGCTACAGACAGTTAATCTTCAACAAAGGAGCCAAGAACATATACAATGGAGAAGGGAAAGTCTCTTCAATAAATGGTTTTGGGAAAACTGGACAGCCACATGCAAGAAAATGAAATTAGAAAATTATGTTACACCATGCACAAAAATTAACTCAAAGTGGATCAAAGACTTGAAGGTAAGACCTGAAACCATAAAACTCCTAAATGAAAATACAGGCAGTACACTCTTTGACATCAGTCTTAGAAGGATCTTTTCAAATACTATGTCTACTAGGTCAAGGAAAACAAAATAAAAAATAAAAAAGTGGGACTTTATCAGACAAAGAGCTTCTGCAAGGCAAAGGAAACCAGGAACAAAATGAAAAGAGAACACACCAACTGGGAGAAAATATTTGCAAATCATGTATCTGACAAGGGGTTAATCTCCAAAATATATAAAGAACTTACACAACTGAACGACAACAACAAAAAATGGGCAGAGTATATGAACAGATGTTTTTCCAAAGAAGATATACAGATAGCCAATAGGCACATGAAAAGATGTTCAGCATCACTAATCATCAAGAAATGCAAATCAAAACTACAATGAGATATCACCTTATGCTCATTAGAATGGCTATAACCACCAAGACAAAAGATAACACATGTTGGAGAGGGTGTGGAGAAAAGGGAACCCTCATACGCTGCTAGTGGGAATGCAAACTGGTGCAGCTACTATGGAAAACAGCATGGAGATGTCTCAAAAAATTAAAAGTAGAAATACCATACAACCCAGCTATCCCACTACTGAGTATCTATCTAGAGAACTTGAAATCAACAATTCAAGGAGACTTATGCACCCCTATGTTCATTGCAGCATTATTCACAATAGCCAAGACGTGGAAGCAACCCAAGTGCCCATGGACTGATGATTGGATAAAGAAGATGTGGTATATATACACAATGGAATACTACTCAGCCATAAAAAAGACACAATGACCCCATTTGCAACAACATGGATGGACCTTCAGGGTATTATGTTAAGCGAAATAAGCCACGCAGAGAAAGATAAACACTGTATATGTGCAAAATATATGTGCACTATATGTGCAAAATAAACAAACACATGGACAAAGAGAACAGAGGGGAAGGAGATTGAGGAATGGGCATAAGGGGTAAAGGGACACATTTATATGGTGATGGGCAAATAATAATGTACAACTGATGGGGCCACCCCATGGCTGGGTGGTTAAGTTCGCGCACTCCGCTCCAGCAGTCCAGGGTTTCGGCGGTTCGGATCCTGGACACGGACATAGCACCACTCATTAGGCCACGCTGAGGCAGCATCCCACATAGCACAACCAGAAGGACCCACAATTAGAATATACAACTATGTACTAGGGACTTTGGGGAGAAGAAGAAGAAAGAAAGTAAAAAAAGAGAAGATTGGCAGCAGATGTTAGCTCAGATGCCAATCTTTAAAAAAAAGAAAAAAGACCCCTAATTAAAAAAAAAAATCCAAATACAGCTTCTTAGCACCAGTAAAAACTGATTAATCTGTTCTCTGTAAACTAACAAATGCTTGTTTTTGTATTTGACTTTGTATTCCAGACTTCTTGCTAACGTAATTTATTGGCTCAAATAACTTACATGTTGGTTATTTTGGATTTTTCTAGGTACACAATCATATCATCTGTGAACCATAAAAGTTATTCAGGTATTTCCTTCTAGTCTTTTACTTTTTATTTCTTTTTCTTTCTTTACCTCACTGACTAGGACCTCCAATATCATGTTTAATGCAAGCAATGGTGGGAATTCTTGTCTTATTCTCAATATCTAGAGAAAATTTCCAATAATACTTCACTATTGAGTATTAGGTCTCTTGAAGATTTTTGCTTTGGATTTTTGTTTGTCTGTTTATTTTAAGATATTCTTTAACAGATTTTTGAGATATTCTTTAACAGATTCTTTAACAAGATTTTTGCTTTGGATTTTTGTTTGTCTGTTTATTTTAAGATATTCTTTAACAGATGAGGAAAGTTCCCTTCCATTTCCAGTTTGCTAAGAGTTTTTATCATGAATGAAATTTTTATCAAAAATTTTTTCTGCATTATTAATTTTTAAAATTATTTTATTTTTTATTGTAGTACATATACATCTCCAGAACTTTTTCATCTTCCCCAACTAAGTCTCTACCCATTAAACATAACTCCTGGTCTCTCTTGCCCCCAACCAGTGGCAACCACCATCCTACTTTCTATCTATGATATTGACTACTCTACGTACTTATATAAGGGAAATCATACAGTATTTGTTCTTTTGTGACTGGTTTATTTCGCTTAGCTTGATATCTTCAAAGTTAGTCCATGTCATAGTATGTGTCAGCATTTCCTTCCTTTCTAAGGCTAATACTTCACTTTACGTATATTCACATTTTGTTTATCCGTTCATCTGTTGATGGGCACTTGGGTTGCTTCCACCTTTTGGCTATTGCAAATAATGCTCTCATGAATATACCTGTTAGAGTCTTTTCTTTCATTTCTTTTGGGTGCATCTATTGATTTGTGAATGTTAAACTAACTTTTCACTCCTGGAAACCCAGTTTTGTGGCAATGTAATCATCTTTTTTATTTTTATTTTTTCTAACATACTGCTGGATTGTTTGCTAATATTTTATTTATGATGTTTGCATCTATGTTTATGAAGAAAAAAGGCCTGTGGCTTGTCATAATGTCATAATGTCAGGTTTTGGTATCAAGCTTACACTGACCCTATAAAATGGGTTGGAGAGTGTGACTGTGTTGAACTTGTCTAGTATATATTTGTTTTACATTAAATTAACTTCTGTAATTTTCTTTATCTTCCTTCTAGTTTATTTTTCATTTAATTTGCTATTCTCTTTCTGTCTTCTTGATCTGGATTCTTATACCATTAATTTTTACCTTTTCTGTATCCTGATGTATGCCTGTAAGTCTATATATTTTATCTCAGCACTGATTCGGCTACATACAAAAGCTTTGATATGTTGTATTTTCTTTTTTCTTTTTTTTTTTTTTTGAGGAAGATTAGCCCTGAGCTAACTACTGCCAGTCCCCCTCTTTTTGCTGAGGAAGCCTGGCTCTGGGCTAACATCTGTGCCCATCTTCCTCTACTTTATATGTGGGATGCCTACCATAGCACGGTATGACAAGCAGTGCCATGTCCACACCCAGGATCCGAACCAGCGAACCCCAGGCCACCGAGAAGTGGAACATGCGAACTTAACTGCTGCGCCACCAGGCCAACCCCAATATGCTGTATTTTCATTATCATTCAGTTCAATATATTTTCTGGCTTTCATTGTGATCTCTTTTTGACTTATATTTATTTAAAAGGATGTTACTTAATTTTCAAACACTTGAGCATTTTCCAGTGGTCTTACTGTTATTTTTCAGCTTAATTCCACCGTGACTGGATAACATGCTTTGTATAATTTCAATCTTTTAAAATTTGTTGAGACTTGCTTAGGGCCTTGAATGTGCTCAATTTTTGTAAATGTTCCATATATACATGTAAAGATTATATATTCGGTCCTGGGTACAGTGTTTAAAATATGTCCATTGAGGGGCTGGCCTGGTGGCATAGTGATTAAGTTTGTGCACTCCACTTCAGCAGCCCAGGATCAGAGGTTCAGATCCTGGAAGCAGACCTACACACCACTCATCAAGCCATGCTGTGGCAGTGTCCCACATACAAAATAGAGGAAGATTGGCACAGATGTTAGCTCAGTTACAATCTTCCTCGAGCAAAAAGAGGAAGATTGGCAACAGATAATAGCTCAAGGCTAATCTTCTTCACCAAAAAAAAGAGAGAAAAGTCTGCTGAGTTATCACTGATCTTTTTTATCAAGAAAATAACAATACTATTTCAAAAT